TCTTTCTCATGGAGGAGATTTCCATGCTTTCCTCCGTGCACAGTCATTCCCATGTGTGGGTTCTTTGGAAATTCACCAAAATAATCTTAGACATTTTCCATTATGAAGGTCAAATCTGTCTTACAATACATTGACTCATAGATTCAGTTCAGCAAGCCAAATGTGCCCAGCATTCTCCAGATGATATTTCACAGGGTAAAATATGAATGGCACCATACAAGCTTACTTGATGTTGATGTGGCCCATAACTAATCCTCTTCTATATTTAAGCTTTCTTTTGAACTCTGTTTGTTACGATTACAAGTTTGTGTGTTGACGCATTTATCCAAAGCTCTTCCCCCATGATGAAATCTGACACAATCTTAATGATTAACACTCAACCTCCACAATGGCATTAGCACTAAGCTACTACAATGGGAGGGTTCAAACATGCAAGGTATTTGGATCACAGCACAATGAAGATATTTTAAAACCTAATAAAACTTTAGGAACCAACATTTTCTCAGTTTCAGTTGAAGATAATCGCTTTACATAGGATTTAACTTCTTTAACACTTTCATAGAATTGGGGTTTAGGTCCAATCCAGCCAAACATTTAAGCACATGCTTAACTGCAGGGATACAAGACACCTTGTTCAATTAAATAGGACAAACATCTTATCTCCAATTAAGGGTGTTTGTAAGTGCTTTGTGATCAGTGAGAGTGGTCAGCACTTCCTAGAAGCACACATAGTTTTTCCAGTTATGCCTTGCTTTGGGATTATGCTAATGGATGGCTTTCTGTGCTTTCCTCACCAAGAGGTGGCACTAGCTATCTCTCCTTTTGCCTGGCATAGGTGTAACCTGAAATTCTCCATTTCGAGGACAGGTGAGGTCTGCATTTCCTCTGTTTGTTATATTACCTTCGAAAGACACATTGCAAAATTCTGAGTATTAATTTATTTCTGCTTGTGGGTGCAAGGTGTAAGAGAAAATAAATCATAACAACTTTTAAGTAGAGAAATTCTGTGAAAGGCATACACGAAAATTTTCAATCTTTTAGTTTTGAAAGTGTTTATACACCTATGCATACTCTGGATTGAATTCATCCTGCAGAACAGTTGGTTCTTCTTGAGGAGCTGGGGTGGTGCTTGTCCATTGTCAAATATTTCCTTCTGTTAACAAGCACAGATCTGCACTACAGCACAGGAGAGCATGTCATCAGAAATAGAAATTTATATCTGCAAGCAGGTGTTTAATAATGTGCTAAACTGTACACTCAATTAAATGCTAATTAGAAGTGTGTTTGAGCAGGTGATCAAAGGAGAAATGTAACAATTTGAATCAGCTATTGGCTCTGTTACAAGGTTGTTTCCAGACTTGCTTCCAAATTGCCTTCATAATTGTTCTGTGATGATTCTCTTTAACCCCCTCCCCTTCCTTCTCCTTTAAATGCTCATTGAAGAAGTAGTATGGAGAACACAATTTTTAAAGCTTTGCCTAACAGGAGTAGAATGACTCCCTCTGAATAATATGGTGACAAATAGCTATCGCAGAAAGGCAGAAATACCTGAATAATTACTTTTTTTTTCTCCTGCTCTGGGAAGGGAGCAGAGTGGACTACCTTGGCAGCAGGCATGCCTTGCTCAGGCTGATATCTGTGCCAGTTCAGGTGTACTCCCTGAAGAATTGGAGAACCCTTTAATCCCACCTATTTCACTATACTTTCCTCTTTGTGTGAGGGGAGGTTTGCCTAAACAACAGATTTGCCTTGTTGTACCTTGTGCAGCAGATACCTTTTTTAAAAAAAAAAAAAAAATTCTTTTCATTTACATGCCCAATGTTAGGTTTCCAAGGCTAATACATTGCTCTGTTTGTGCTCTACTAGTGCCTATTTCTGCGCATGGATGTACCTTGTACCGTAAGTTGGTAAACCCCCACAGGTTACCATTCTTCAGTGTATGGTAGTAGGGAATCTCATAAAGTTTCTGAGTCCTGTGTCACAGGACAGAGAGCGCACTCCAAATAAAAAGACGCTGTTGCTGCAAAGCCTTTGAAATGCATAGAACTGTTTCCTCCAAGGTTTATATATGTGCTTAACTTCACATGACTTGGGTATTATCAATGCAAATGGGGGAATGGCGCGTAGTGCATAAATCAGATGTTTTTATTTTTGAAGGGTCTGTTGCCTATGGGCTCCTTAATAGAAACCATTAGGTTATCTGGCTGCTTCTTTCAGTTTCTGTTCCAGACAGCACTTCTGTTTCAAAAACAGAAAAACACTGCAGTGGATTCCATTGCTTTTAAATAAAATGCAGATATATTTTAATGCTTTGTGATCAATACAATCAATTTGCATAACTCCTCTCTGCACCATTCAAGCCAGTAACAGGAGGCCAGCCAAATTAAACAGTTCCCATAGTTTCCTGGTAGCAAATTAAAAAAAAACCCCAAGCTGTAAAATTGCTGTAAAATTGCTCAACTAATTTGGCTTTTTGGAATACGGAGAGACTGACGACATTAAAATTCCTTGTTCTTTATTTTCTGTTAAAATTACATTGCTTAAACCAACTCTATTGCCGTTAAATAACCTTTTCTTAGCTAACTAGATAGGTGGATAGATTGTCTTCCAATATTCACCCAGCAAGGCAACAGAAGAGTCAAGAAAAACTGTCTGGGGCAAAAAGTAATGTCTTAGGGTTTTTTAAAGCTTATGCAGAGCTAGTAAATTCAGAAATGGAAGGCAAAAGACAGTAGAAGATGCAATGGGAGTTAAAATAAAATGCAATCAAAAAAATTAAAAATTAGTCTTTCTTAAATAACTGAGAAACTTCTTTTCCAGTGCTATCTTCCTCCAGTGTACTCTGCTGCTCTGTAGCAGACACACACATTCCCAGGCTGGGCAGCCCCTGATTGCTCAGTGGATGTGACAGCCTGTGGGACAGTTGTCCTGCAGTGTCCATCAGCCTCCTTGGCCTCTTCCCTGCCACCCTGGAGTTGTTCTTTCTGGTCTTCTTTTTCCTCAGGTTGGGTTGTCAGCAGAGCGGCAGCCAGCAGCAGGGCTTGCTGAGGGTCTCCAGAGCCAGCTAGGCTGGGCTCCACCTAAACTCATCAGCTCTGAGGCTGCAGAACGAGCATCTGCATGCTGGGAACGTGCTTGATGTTAATGGTTCTTGACCTGAATCTCTTCAGCAGATTTGTGTTTGTCTTAAACTGACCTGGCAGAGATTGCCAAGAAAGGCATGTGGGATGCTGATATTGCTCAGTGGAAGCACTGGTTTCCTCAGAGGTTGTGTAGTGTCATTTGGGGGCAGTTTCTCTCTCTGGACATTTCCATGTGGACAGTTCAAGAGGGATCTTAATTATGATTTGCCCAAGGTTTGACTGATCGGCCCTTCAGAAACTGTAAACGGATGCAAAACTGAAATTTTACCTTGGGTGTTCCAACTCTCCCATCACCTCACTGCCTCCCTCTCTCCTTGAGCTATCAGTTTTGTTTAGCCTCAAACTGAATATGAGATTATTCTTTTACAACCCTGCCATCACCTCAGTCTGAGGTTTTTTTGGCTTTTGTTTTTTTCTTTGTGTGTGTGTGCATGAGCGAGAGAGGAAACGTAACGGTATTGTGGAGATGCCTACAGAAACAAAGTCATTGGAAAAACTCTACCTGATTCACTACCCCTTTGACTACAGTGTCAGGATATGAACTCTTCTTGGTGGTAAAACTACCTGAACAGTGTGATTGGGAACGAAGGGCTGAATACATGAAGTGGAGGACAGAAGCAGACAGCAGGGACTAGGGGCTGTGCAGCAATGCCTAACCTGGTACTGCTGCCAAAGCTAATGTCAGGAAACCACAACATTTGTAGCACTCTGGTGTGGGGGGGTCCTTATTGAAATCACTAGTGACTGAACTCAGAGTGATGAGAAGGGAATATTACCTCCCTTTGAGGCTTGTCTGCAGTGCAAAAGTAGGATCACATGAAGTGTTTTTGCAGAAATAAATCTCCAGCACTACAGAGGGAGGAACGGGAGTTTGCCATGCATCTCTGTGAGGCAAAACCTAGAGGTTTTCCCTGGAACTTCTGCAGATATAGAAAGACTGAAACTACCGCAATGAAGGTGCATGGCCAGACTCCCACCAGCTTCAGTGAAAGAGGAGGCAGGCAATGTGTGCATAGCAGTCTAATTGCATTTCTGTGTTGTTTATGTCAGTGTATTAATAAGGGATTGAAAGGCAGAATCATTAGGATGTGCTTGGATAGATTATCAGGGGAAACCAGATTTGGAACATCAGTGAGGTATGTAAAATGAACAAGTAAAGAACAAATGTTAATTGTACTTAATTAGAAATGTACTGAACCACCCAAATTTAATTGTTGGATGTCTGCAAACATTGATGCCCATTAGTTTGTCCACAGTGACTGTTTTTGTTCCCCATGCCACCTTCTATTTTCGGGAAGGGGAAGTCTGAGTCCTTAGAGCTGGTAAAAGTAGGTCAGATGCCATTAATAAACAGGTAGTTCAAAAATGCCTTTGTTTAATTTGACATGAGGCCAGATCTTCAGCTCTAAATTCACACTGGCTGAGCATCTGGCTGGTGGCCTTCATGCCTTCCACTCTCTACTACAAGAAAGTCTTCTTACAGCAATCTAGTAATGTAAAGGTACTTAAAACAAGTACATCAAAAAATACGTTATCT